AGCTGGGGGTGCGGGCTCCTGGGTGGGGCCAGAAATGAGGGGTTCAGGGTAAGGGCTTCGTCTGGGAGTGCAGGCTATGGGGTAGGGCTGGGGATGAGGGATTTGGAGTGCAGGAGGGGGCTCCAGATTGAGGGGGGGCTCGGGGCTGGGGCAGGGTGTGGGAGGTTGGGGTACAGGCTCTACCTCCGGCGGCGCCCAGTCAGCAGCACAGCAGGGGGGCTAAGGCAGGCTTCCTGTCTGTCCTGGCACTGTGGACCCGCACTGCGCCCCGGAAGCAGGTCCGGCTCTTAGACAGAGGTGCGGCAAGAGGCTCTGGGCACTGCTCTCGTCTGCAGGCACCGCCTCCGCAACTCCCATTGGCCTTGGTTCCTGGCCAGTGGGAGCGCGGAGCCGGTACTCGGGGTGGGGGCAGCGCACAGAGCCCTGTGGTCTCCCCATTTAGGAGCTGGACCTCCTGGCTGCTTCCGGAACGCAGCACGGGGCCAGGACAGGTAGGGACTAGCCTGCCTTAGCTCCGCAGCACCGCTAACCAGACTTTTAACGCCCGGTCGGCGGTACTGTAACCATGGGGGTCCCAACCCAAAAGGCGGTCAGGGTGCTGACCGGAGCCGCCAGGATCCCTTTTCGACATCTTATGTCTCTCTTGATTAAATGCAGTGGGCCATCTGATGGTAAATTTTTGTGCTGACTTTCACATAATCCTTTATAATCGTTGTGTTATAATCCATTGTTATGTGGCGAATTGCAAAGCAGGCTTGCTGCTCCTGAAGCAGTGGCAGGAAATCTTACAGTGTTTGACATTGTATTTTGACTGATTTATTTTCTCAGCGTTTTCCAGAAACTGGTGCAGTGCTGTATTCTTACCATAAGTACCTGCTTGAATTAGTAAGCTTTCATAGCATTGCTGCAAACTACTTTTGCTTTACATAAAATGAAACATGCATTTAGAAGTCAGTTATTTTGAATGAACTCCTATGTTTAGTTCATAGGCATATGTTAATAAAACTGTACTAACACTTAAAGAAAAAATGGATTTATAAACATAATCACACTTATATTTTGCCTTTTCTTCCAATAAGGATTTTAAAATACCTGGTAATCCAACACTGAAGATTCCTCTAGTTACTGTATTTGATGCTTTAGATATAGAGGTGGAAGAAGATGAACTGAAGACAAGAGGTAATGAAACTGGAGGATTAAAGCCTACGCTGTCAACTAATTGCTCTGTCCATGCCCTCACTTAAATAATTCCACCATGTACAGTATGTGTATTTCTTTGAATCCATTCCCCAGCTGTTTAGAAATTACTTCTTTTCCAGCTGGAACTATTTCCCCCCACTCTAAAATAAGAGCTGCATTTTCAGTTTGAAGCTTAACTGCAGCATCCTTTCCTTTTCTTCAGAGAAGAGGCTCTCGTGTTATTTGTAGTACATCAGTCACTGATAAAGAAAGCAGCTGTGATGTTTAGTGTAGTTGCTAGTTTTCATTAGACTGAAATATGTGTCATAGCCGCAATGGTAACTGGGTAGTTATTGCAAAATTTGTTTTAACATTTTTGCTTTTTTTTTTAAAAGATGCTTTATATGAATGCTTTCTGAATACTGGTTAACATTTTGGGTCTGCCGTTCCCAGCACTTTTTTTTTTTTGATTTCATGCTCTGACAAATGCGATCAGTGCAAAAGTTAACCTAAGCCTGGTATTTATATAATGGAAAAGGGGAAAATGTGAGGGGAAAGTGTAATGAAACTCCCAAAACTGAGAGGGTTTTATTTGTTGTTTATTTGTCCCCCCCATGTGGCATCTCTTTGAAGTCTCCAATATGGATCACTCTTATAATGAATAATTTTTGTTTACTACTTCCTTCACTTTATCTGCTGGTTATATTTTACTGAGCTGCTTTGTTGAGACACCAGTGAACATGTCAAGGCAATTCCTTCTCCTATCAATGACGGGGAGATGTTTCTATGGGTACGTCTTCACTTACCGGAGGGTCCGGCGGCAGGCAATCGATGTTCTGGGATCGATTTATCGCGTCTGGTTAAGACGCGATAAATCGATCCCTGATCGATCCCGGAAGTGCTCGCCGTCGACGCCAGTACTCCAGCTCGCCGAGAGGAGAACGCGGCATCAACGGGGGAGCCTTCCTGCCGCGTCTGGACCCGCGGTAAGTTCGGATTAAGGTACTTCGAATTCAGCTACGTTATTAACGTAGCTGAATTTGCGTACCTTAGTCCGAAGTGGGGGCTTAGTGGGGACCAGGCCTTTCTCATGAACCTTGTTTCTCTTTCCTTCTCCGTTCTTCCTTGACTCAGCTAGCACCAGCTTTTTGCCAGTTCAGCCTCCCTGTTTGCCCAAAGCCTTTTCCTCTGCCACTCTTGCCATCTGTCATAGTCTTCCTGTGTGCCTCCACCTCACTGATTCACCATCTGTTCTTAGATCTTTGAAAAAAACTGTTTATCACCTGTCAATGCCTTAGTTTCTCTCTTCCTGCTTTTATTTGTATTTAACCCTATGATATGTTCTGGGGATACACTTTTTATATGAAAGTTGCTGCATGAATAAAGTTGTATTCTAATTCCCATTAGCACTAATGGAGCTATGTGTATATGCTTCAAGAAAGAATAAACTCTCACAAGTCAAATTTATCTTAATGTTTTATTTAAAAACAAATGTTAAATATTTCTGACAAGGCACATATTGGAGAGCAGGATGAAGCAATGCTAAATGTAACTGCAGTGAATAGTTCAGTTACTATTTTACCAATAAATTGTTAAAAACTTTGCTAAATAAATGTGTATTGAATAAAAGCCCAATCCTTTAAATTATTACACAGTTACTTAACTTTATGCTTGTGAACAATCACACTGAAGTTAATCATGTGTAAGTGCCTGCAGAATCAGGCAGGGCCTATGAAATTATATATAATACACACACTGTATTTGAAAAAAACTTTTTGAATACCCTATGGTATTTCAATATGTCCTTAGCTGTGACTGGTATTCCATCTGCCTTTAAATGAGAATTAGTCTTCCTGGTGAGAAGAATCAGGAATGGCAGTCTGATGTAGGTTTAGCGATGGGAAATGCAGAATCATTTAAATGGAGAGAGAGGAAGGAGACTTTCTCAGTTCCTATAAGCAAAGTTTTATTTTTTTACTTGTTTATTTTTAGAAAATATTTTTGGTTAATTTAGCTGAATTAACAAAGTAAGTTTTATAAAAATAATAATGGAACTTGCAGAGTACTGTCTCATACATCAAAATGATGAGATGCATTTCTTGTGTCTCAGTTAATTATCAGACTGTTGCGCTGAAGGCTTTGTCTGATTGCTAAATTTTTTTTTTAAATGCTGTGTAACTTTTCTTGGTAATTAGAAGTAGTGATTATATTGTATTTCAGTAGTACATTGCAATTATTCTTGTAGAAGAACTTTATTATATTTTGAGACAAACTTCTATTTTATTGATTTAATTTATACTTTGGCAACACTTGTATAGCCTGTCATGCCAATAAAGTTTAATTGAATTGAGCTGAGATGACCATGTAATAGTTGCTAGTTCTGACTTGCAGAAATAGTCTTTTTGAAGCCCTTAGGACTACTTGCATGGGTACAGACTGTTCAAATATTTTATTGTTTACTAGTTGAGCTCTATAATGAAAATTTTCCCCATTATAACTTGTGCTATAGACAGAGTGAGTGTATATAATGTTTGCTGAGTTAATTAAGAAAATAAGTAGTCCTCGTCTGAAAATATGATTTTCTTTGAAAGGGTGAATGAAGCTGCCCTGAATAAAGATTAACACACTTAATAAATCCATACAGGAAAGAGAGAGAAAAAGAACATAAATCAACTAAAACTGATTCATTTGCAAATATAATTACACACTGAGAAAATGTATGTATACTGTTATATAATCTGAATAGTCATTGCACAGATTAAAGGTATTGAAAAGCCATTGATAAATCCTCCTAAAAACCTGTCAGTTATATAATTAACAATTATAGACATCAATCATATACAGATAAACAGTAGAATTCATTTGAACTAGTAAACTCATTAAATGCAAGTAAAATTAAAACATTCAAACCCTTATCTTTATAATCTTTCTTCAAAACACTGTCATTCTAAAAATATACATAAAGATACTAAGATAAAAAGGTAAAATAAAATCCACTTACGCTAGGTATTCTAATCAACCAACAGCAAAATAGGAGTTGAGATAATTTATCTGTTTAGGAATCAAATTCTGCTTAGTTACACTTGTGCAATCCCATTGGTCTCAAAGGGGTTGCAGAGGTGTACTGGGAGCAAAATTTGACTAGTAAATCTTTGAGTGGAAAGATTATTTTCCTACAAGTTTCTTTTTCAATTTTAGCTTGCTTGATGTATTTTTCCTATTTACAGGTCTTACAGGATTGAAAAATATTGGAAACACTTGTTACATGAATGCAGCTTTACAAGCTCTTTCCAATTGGTAAGGAAAATAGCTGTAAAATGTAACCTTAAAGTAGCTATGTGTATCTGCATGTCTTCAGTTATAAACCAGACCCTCCAAAAAGCCCTTAATTTAAGTTTTAGAAGAATCATACCAGTATAAACCTCATTTTGATGTGTTTGGTAGCCTCATCTTGCAGTAGCATGAATAGTGCTATTGCAATCAATGGTATTACTTAAGAGTTGCAGGATATGTATATAGTTTCCCTCAAATAACAGTCTATGTGTTTTCCCTCCTCTCTAATATCTCACAGCCCTCAATCAAAAATTATAGTTCTAAAAATTAAAAAGAGAATTGGTCATAAATATCCAGGTCGTCTTCTAAGTGTAGGGCCATTCTTTGATTCTTGAGGTTTTTTTTTTTTCCTCATTCTTCTCAAGACATCAAAAGGTAATATGATGTGTGGGGCATAAACAAGCTTTGAATTCTTTTTTACCATGTTATTTTTCAGTCTGGAAAGTTTTCTAATTGCTATTTATAACAATTAAAATGAGGTGGCATGGTGTAATCTTTTAGTGACAGAAGTTTAAACTTGCCAATTTTATAAAAGCAGCTGATATAAAATGCCTTTGATTAAACACTTGAACTGCTTGGATCTTAAACTCAAAAACAGATCAAAGAATTTCTAGATCCTAATTATAAACTAAACATACATAATGTACATACTTAATGATAACAATTGTAAGTGAAATAGTTTAGAAAGATATTTTTTATTCCTAAATATTCATAGATCAGAAAGAGCTGCCTAGTTATATACTTGAAAGTATCAGGAATATTTGGTTAATTTTTGTTTCCATTTTTTATTAAATGTTTCCAATTATAAAATAGCCTGTCCTTCCCTTTTTAAAAAAATGTAGGTTAATTAACCTATTGATTTAAAATACATTTGTTGAATTTCAGTCTTGCTAGTTGTTCCTTTTATACAATGAACCAAAACCAAACTGAGACTTTAATTATTATGTTTAATTGCTGACTATTATGTTTTCTATTTGTGACTTCCCCCTCCAAAACTGTACTGAGTTAGGATTTGGTATTAATAATTATAATCCCTAGCTATTATATAAGGCTTTTCACCAATAGATTAAATAGTACTTTACAAAAGAGATCAGTATCTTTATCTCCGTTTCACAGATGGTACATTGAAGCACAGAGAAAGGAAGTGACTGCCCCATGATCAACCCTGCAGGCCAGTGGTACAGTTAGGAATAGAACCCAGGTTTCCTGGATTCAGTACAGTGATCTATCCACTCCTCATTATTTGCCCTGAGGTCCTTGCTATTATCAAAAAATGCTTTGGGATTTTTGAAAGTCTTTTAATGAAAAAATAAATAAAAAGGTGGAAAATAGCCAGGAAATTTGGCAAGAAGAGAGGGAAAGGACCAAAAGCTTTTTGGAATATATTATTTGTTATAACAAAGTATGTCTTGTAGATCAGGAACCAGTTAACTACTGTTTCTGGTCAATATTAATGGTATGGGAGAGGTCAAGGTTATAGTTCCTAGAATTTCCTTGGGCCACCAGTTGATTTTAAGGGAACAACTTATTCTCTCAGTGCTGCTTAAAATAATAGATATTGGAACTAACCCACCTATTTGTTCCAAAATTTTTTCCTGATTTTCCAGATCAAGCTTTTCTGTAATTCTAACCACAGAACTCAATATACATTTTCTGTATAGCCTGTCCCTACAATGATATATTTTAATACATTCCTTGTAAGACATTAAGGAGTATTTTAAAAATATTAGCTATGAAAGTTATCTGAAAATGTCTTTCAGAATATTACATAATCAAAAAGTGCCAGCTTTCAGCCACCTTGACTGCAGAGCAAGGATCACAGGGATATACCACTATCCTGCAGTGGCTACATTGGCTAGTGGGAACCTGCCCTTGTAAGGTGGCTCCCACTGGACAATTCCAGTGCCTCTAACAAGTGACAGGATTGGTCTGTGAGGGGTATTGTGCCACTCATAAAGTGGCCCAAATAAGCAGAATATATGAATGTTGCCCTAGGGTTTAGGAAAAGAAATCATTAAACGTTTACCATGTAAATGTCAATAATTAGCCTTAGCTAACATGCTGTTAAAATGAATGTAGGGGGAGATTTACACTTCTCTTAGCACTATTTAAAGAATAATAATCTTGCTTTCTTCCCTCTAATCAGCCCACCCTTGACACAGTTTTTTCTTGACTGCGGGGGCTTAGCACGAACAGATAAGAAACCAGCGATATGTAAAAGTTATCTCAAGCTGATGACAGAACTTTGGCACAAAAGCAGGTATTGTACCACTTTCCTTGTGAAATATGTTTATATATAAACTTTGGACAGCAGTACAGCACAGGGGTGAACTTGTCTTAGCTCCAATTGTTTCCTCGTGTGTAATAAACCTTTGGAATATCACAGGCTTTGAATTTAATTAATTTAAAAATAACTCTAAAAGGTTGTGTGGTGGAGTTGGGGAAGTTAACATTTGTTTTAGTGGGAAAGTTACATGAAAGAGGCTTTTCTGTATATCATGTGACAACTCAAAACAAATGTCATTTAGCTGCTGAGTGATGATGGCATCATGTTTGCCTTCAGGTTGAAAAGAAAGATTTGCCCATTGCAGCTGTTCCTGTAGTTGAACCCATAATCATGCATAATGGCATTAGATTTTCATCCTAGGAAACATGACAAGATTGACTTCCTTACACAATGAAACATGTAAGTTGTTATAAATAAGAGTGCTCTTTTATGGATAATTGAGCCTCCAGTTTCCAGCACTTTAAGCTCAACCTGAGATAGAACAAACTTTGGTTTTCCATCTGCTTCATACAGCATCGTTACACACATGCATTTCCCATATTTCAGTGACTTTCATAAATTTCAATAACTTTTTTTTAAACGTTTGAGTGGTAGCCGTATTAGACTGCATCACCAAAAACAACGAGGAGTACTTGTGGCACCTTAGAGACTAACACATTTATTTGAGCATAAGCTTTCGTGGGCTAAATCCTACTTCATCACATGCATGGAGTGGAAAATACAGTAGGAAGATATAGATACACAGTACATGAAAAGATGGGAGTTGCCTTACCAAGTTGGGGGGGGGTGTCAGTTTTAACGAGACAATTCAATTAAAGTGGGCTATTATCAACAGGAGGAAGAATCACTTTTGTAGTGGTAATCAGGGTGGCCCATTTCAAACAGTTGACAAGAATGTGAGAGTAACAGGGGGAAATTAGCATAGGGAAATTAATTTTTAGTTTTTGTAGTGACCCATCCATTCCCAGTCTTTATTCAGGCCTAATTTGATGGTGTCCAGTTTGCAAATTAATTCCAGTTCTGCAGTTTCTCGTTGGAGTCTGTTTTTGAAGTTTTTTTGTTGAAGAATTGCCACTTTTAAGTCTGTTATTGAGTGTCCAGAGAGGTTGAAGTGTTCTCTGACTGGTTTTTGAATGTTATAATTCTTGACATCTGATTTGTGTCCATTTATTCTTTTGCATAGAGACTATCCAGTTTGGTCAATGTACGTGGCAGAGGTCCTATGATGGTGTCGCTTGAATAGATATGTGGACAGAGTTGCAACGGGGTTTGTTGCAGGGATGGGTTCCTGGGTTAGTATTTTTGTTGTGTGGTGTGTAGTTGCTGGTGAGTATTTGCTTCAGGTTGGGGAGCTGTTTGTAAGCGAGGACTGGCCTGTCTCCCAAGGTCTGTGAGAGTGACGGATCATCCTTCAGGATAGGTTGTAGATCCTTGATGATGCACTGGAGAGATTTTAGTTGGGGGGCTGAAGGTGATGGCTAATGGCGTTCTGTTACTTTCTTTGTTGTGCCTGTCCTAAGACTCTCTCTATGCAAAAGAATAAATGGACACAAATCAGACCTGAAGAATTATATCATTCAAAAGCCAGTCGGAGAACACTTCAACCTCCCTGGACACTCAATAACAGACTTAAAAGTAGCAATTCTTCAACAAAAAAACTTCAAAAGCAGACTCCAACAAGAAACTGTAGAACTGGAATTAATTTGCAAACTGGACACCATCAAATTAGGCCTGAATAAAGACTGGGAATGGATGGGTCACTATAAAAACTAAAAACTAATTTCCCCATGATAATTTCCCCCTATTGTTACTCACACCTTCTTGTCAACTGTTTGAAATCGGCCACCCTGATTACCATTATAAAAGTGATTCTTCCTCCTGTTGATAATTGCCCACTTTAATTGAATTGTCTCGTTAGAACTGACCCCCCACTTGGTAAGGCAACTCCCATCTTTTCATGTACTGTGTGTATATATATCTTCCTACTGTATTTTTCACTCCATGCATCTGATGAAGTGGGCTGTAGCCCACAAAAGTTTATGCCCAAATAAATGTGTTAGTCTCTAAGGTGCCACAAGTACTCCTCGTTGTCGTTTTTTATAAATGATCCATCACTTTTGATGATTGGAATTTGTGTGGAGAGGAGGCAGAAAAAAGAGAGCTGCACTGTTAGGCTCTATAGTAAGAGCTTGTCTACACATGGATTTGTTTTGTAATAACTGTTCTACTTTAAATTCAGACCCTACTTTATTCCTTCATAATTTTATGTGTAGATGAGACCCAAGTTAATACGTCGCAGTCACACAGCAAT